CACTTGATTAGGTAATAAGTTTATGACACTTGATTAGGTCTTAATCTCAATGATATCAGTATCAGTAATGGGATGAAATAAAACTATATACATTGCATTACATCCCAGCACCTTATCATGCATATAAAATAGTTCATCTCCTAAATATGACATGCATTTAACATTGCGCTCGCCGTGGGCGACTATATTTTTCGATTTTTAACAACTTTGCACTCATGTAACAAAGTATGATTTTGCAATTTGCAATCCACATGAAGGATGTAGAGATTTTTCAGCCAAATTGTAACAGTGTTAGATACATGCTTTCGGTGGAATGTGATGGGGGTACGATTAATAATGGATCGAATGCCGGCTATATGCGAGGACACAAAATATCGGATTAATGACGTTAATGGGCATTTATTATGAATTTATATAGCTGCATACATGAAAAAGTATGGTACACTTGAACTATGTTAAGTTACTGACAAATGTCAAAAGGTTGTTTAATTATAGTGTCTGGACGTAATTAACCGTTAGAGTTGACAAAAGTGACAACCTAAGATCAGTTCAAGATCAAACAAAGAAATTTAACTAGATAGTACTGTCAGAGGCTTACGTGACGTCATTGTAGGTATAAAGTACATGCCACAACAATTGGAGTATTTCGTGTGAGACGTATTGTTCGCGTTTTGATCTTTCAAGAATAAAGTACCCGGATGTATCAGTTACAATCTAAAGCATAAACATGTTGTCTCCGTTTGAACAAGTACCTGCCAAAACTAGCAACAGAACACAAGGATAGATTTCAGATACGATAAAGTGTGTGAATGTGTAAAGAAAATCATCAAATGACAAATATTAAAATATGCAGTACAATTTCCGCTAAATATCAAAAGAACATCATGAAAGAAATGCATTGAACAGAGGGTTATTTAATAAACGGGACTTCATTTGCATAATTTGCCATAGGCTTACTACGGGTTTAAAAATCTTATAGTCAGTGTGAATTCTTCAATGATAGCGAGAAAACACGAATATTGACATGGTCAAAAAAGAAGGGAAAGAAACAACAACTAAAATAAATAGTTAAAACTATTTCGTACTTTTTAAGGCACCTACATTTTTACGACATCAAACGAAATGAAAATCACTAGAGCTGTAACAATCGCCTGTGACAAGTTTATTCATGTAAATAAAGATGAAAATATGTCACAAGATTCTGTTCAAAACGCTTAATAAAAATTCGCTTTAGTTTCAAACTATTTCTTATACTAAATCTCCCGGCCATGACTGACCCTCCTGTTAAAATTCTGCAGGCGCCCCTGTTTGTGACGGTATTTACGGTGTCCGCTCATCCATATTTGCATTCAGTATCTTAACCGTCAAAATATTAAAAACAGGCATATGAACATACGTAGATAGTGGGGAGTGTTTATTTATGACCTGGTCTTTTGTATAATACTTTTAATGTACATATTATATTATCCATCTATTCTGATATCCGTCCTGGTCTCGGTCTCGCACTCTGACAGAAAAACGAAGTTATGATGTATTTAGATATAATTGCTGAAACACACACAAGAACTGCGCAGAAAGCAATGTTAGATAGAAACAAGTCTTATGGTTTCTAGATGTTATTCACTCTTTGATGATAATAAAATTATTCAAGATAAACACCTTTTCATTACACCATGAGTATATTTATATTAATGAGTATATTTATATTAATGAAAAGATTAGTAATTCGACACTTGAGCTACACACTCCCACCACCCACCACCGGTATTTTTGTTTTAGATTTTCGTTTGCAAGAGCATCCATTAACACCAAGTAGGATCAGTCCCAATATAGAATAAATGTTTCATACATAGACGTCTTTTGTTTTCGAATATAATAAACCTCGCTTATTATTTGAAAAAGACCAACATATAAAGAAAATAGTTAACAAAGTAACAAATCGGCTAGGATATTATTATTGTTGCAAAACCTTCAATATAAATGTAATCAAGATAATGAAACAAAATATATAAAAATGTCAATAAAATGTATAAAAATGCCGTCTTCATTGTGTCAAATTCATATAATACTAAATGTCATGGGTGTACGCACATATGGGCGAGGCAGGGAGACTTGTCTCCCTTCCCCGGGATTTCACCTCTAATATGTTCTGGCCTAAATCCATAAAATAGCTTAACCACTATACATGTTTTCCGCCTTCCTCCTCTCTAAAATAATTCTGCGGGCGCCCCTTCTAAAAATGGCTGTCGTTGACCTGTAGTGTTAATCGGTACATGTATAATGCAATCCTAATTGATGCATAAGGTGTTCCAGTTTAAGCATATACGAAATATTTTTTTTTAATATCAGTTTGAAACATGCGTTTCAAACACGCGGCTAGTGACATTATTTTCTGCTGACCGTAATGACACCCCAAATTTGTAAAATAATGCAAATGAAAAGGTTTCAGTGATGCGTCCCTCTGGCCAATGTACTTGTCCTCATTTGGCCCTCGTGGTCATTGGAGTTTGAGACCACTGGTTAAAAGATCTATCGACAACAGCCATACAGTTACGATGACAATATCTTGAGACTTTCATCTAGACTCAAGAAAAAAAAAAAAAACCCTTATCGAATATCTTAATGTGGATTATTCATTCCATCTCTCGTATATTCGTGAGATGTTTGGCCATTCTCTACCCAAATCACATTCGTAACATCTCGGGTCTTTCCATATACGATCTAACCATGTACTAGTCACGTGATAAAAGTAGTTACATTTTTGTGGAAACCGAATTATTTTGACCTCTTGTTGCTTTTCCTTTTAAATTTACCCCAAATTTTTCGGATGATTTATTTACCGGTCTTTTAGGAATACATTTAACAATACTGTATTCTACTCTGACAGTTGCATGCAACGGTATCCAAAAACATACTCTGATTTTTTTTTTTTACTGCAATGGTAATTTGTTCAATGCTAAAATTTGCCGTTCCTGCGATATAATTTACTGTTGAGAAGGTAATTTTTTTATTACTATCGATATACAGGTGCAGCGATATTCAAACATTATTGAAACTGCATTTCTTGCTGTTGCAGCTTATGTTTGAATCTGTGAAAGAGTAACATCATTTAAGAAACAACCATAATTTGAGCTTTTTATCAAAAACATTACCACCATAACAGCGATCTTACAGTTACAACGATAAGATATATTGCAACAACAGCAAGTACTAATATGTTGACATATGAACATCATTGTAACGGTAGGTGAATACAGTTTGAACAGTGTATAACTAGTACTACAACGGTAAATTGTATCATTGTGAAATAAAACTGTACGTTGAATAGACACAATTTAACCCTGCACCTATAACTAGATGCCATTGAAAAGATATTTGTTTACATGTAAATGTTATTTTTTTAACTGGAACCTTTTTGCTTTTTCAATGTTGATATCTTGTTGGACCGAAAATATTTTTATTCCTTGGCGGAATAGTAGTGGTGGTTCGGGTGGGGTGGCGATTCCAGCCAAACCATAGTTTTATTCCGATTTACTTACCTGCTAGCACATAAATTACATATCACTATTAACCACATAACATTATGTGATATAAATTGCCTGATCTAAATAAATAACGATATTCCATCTCCAAGGAAATCCCATCAGGCACAATGCAAACCATAAAGCAAACAATATTGTTGGGATTATCTTCCGAGAAACCGATAATTTCATACTTTGAACAGTTCTCATTCTTGCCTTCCTCCTGACATACTTACTGGAATTTTAGTGCTTAGAATATTTTCACGTACTAGCAACAAGCCTTAGGGAGTCTTTATTTTAAATTTTAATTGCTGAATTTTGTTTTCTCCATGTTCTTAAATTAATGCAATCTTTGCTTACCCTCATGTTAGGTCATTAGAAATTATCATTATTATTATTATTATTATTATTATTATTATATATATATATATATATATATATATATATATATATATATATATATATATATATATATATATATATATATATATATATATATATATATATATATATATATATATCTGTGTGTGCACGTGTGTGTTTTGGACTGAACGAGCCTTTTGCTGTCTCACCCAATGCTCGAAATTTCAGAATTACTTGCAGTTTGACAGTGATAGCGTATGTATGTATGTATGTATGTATGCATCGACGTTTTACACTGAATCAGCCTTTTGCTTTATCGCCCAATGCTCGAAACTCAGTATTACGTGCAGTTTGCCATTGATAGCGTCGTGCGTCAATTATAAACAAACCTAACAAGAGTTTACGGAGTAATTTATAGTTACTGAAGAAAACCTTTATACGACAATAGGACCCGCTCAGTTCGATAATTAGGCTGTGTTATCATGATTTTGACTACACAGACTTGAAAGTTCGCTGATAAAACGGCCACATTTAGGTCATACATAATGTGTTCTAGAACTTTGAAGTACACATAACATCATGACGTCACAAGGAGCGATTTAAACAAGGCCTAGTTTGTTGCTACGTACTGCTGTTTCCACCAATTCACTTACCTAGAACATTATCTCTTCTCGTCTGGTCTCTCTGTGCTCTTGCTAACTCCTATCCACCCTGAAACAACCTTAGTTTCCGTAAGACCTACTTAATCGTGCAGTCTATCATTCTTATCAATACGTGAAGGAATGGGTAGAAGTATTACGTGCTATGACCTCATTAATCCAATGATCTTGCTGGACTTGCCTGCTGTTCAATAGATAATTTTGGTCCGATCCGAGGTGATGTGATTATGATTTTTATCGTAGCTTTAACAATTTGTCAGTCATATCGCTACGATGTCTGCAGTGTGGCAGTTTATAGTGATGTCTAGCACTGGGGCATCATGCCGCAGACATGTAGCATGATGTCACCACCCAGTCACATTATCCAAACACCAGGCCAACCAGTCCTAACACAAACCTCTTAATGCTGAGCGCCAAGCGAGGCAGATGTTAGTACCATTGTTGTAAGTCTTTGGTATGACTCGACCGGGGATAGAACCCACTACCTCCAGCATCCGAGGTGGACGCTTTAACCACTAGGCCACCGGAGTGGTCATTTTGGTCCGGAATTTAAATACCTATGTATACAAACCTTTAGGGGCCCCGAGTGGCCGAGTGGTCTAAAGCGCTGTCCGTTACGGATCACTGCCATCTCACCTCCCTCTGCGTGTGTTCGAGTCTAGGATTCGGCGAATGTGGAAACGTTAGAAAGCTTGCCAGTAGCTTCTTATGGGTCGGTGGTTCTTTCCGGTGTTTTCCCGGTTTCTTCCTCCACCATTAATACTGGCCGCCATGAATAGCCTATCGTGTGCGGAAAAATGGCGTTAAGATTAACAACAATAACAATACAAACCTTTCTATATGTATTCACAGGTGTAATATGGCACGTCTAGTTAAATATGAAAATGAGCGAAACTTGATTTTTATTGTTATGAAACTAAAATAGCTCCATTTTGTTTCTGAACGCTTTACTTTGGTTTCACAAGCGTTGTTCTTAATTAGTCACCATTTTATTCACTCACTGATAGATAGGCTTACCAATAAGCAATGGTTTCGAATACTTGATTTCCGATATAATTAGTAACTTGAAAAATGCAATATATGAATAAAAAAAAGCAATTAAATAATGAAATAAAATGACTGCAAAGTTATTAGTGTTCTTTTAAGGGTCCATAAAGACATTAAAAATATACGACAGGTCCTTTCTATCTGAAAGCCATTGTCTTATCTGACATTTCATTAAACTTTTTTATCTGAATAAGTATTTGGACATACTTTGTGTAGGTGGAGTAACAAATTACATACGAAACTGTAATAACTTGTCCTTGGTGTCATGCATGTAGCTTTAGAGGTGCCGCGCAATCAAGCTATTGGTTTTACATATAATTCCTAGTTGGAGATCTTCAGGCATCACACAAATGCGCTTGGTCATTTCAAGCAAAAAGATGGCAAATGTCTTTAACTCAAAGAATTATCATAAATTTCTACTGGTCTTCTCAATTTTCAGTTCGAATAATTTTAATAGGAGATTCTAACGTACAACGACGTCGACTATTTGGCATAAGAATTATATGGCTCTGTTCCCAATGCATCAATCTCGACAGTCATGTTTGCTGGCCTCAGGTCACAATTAATAGATCCGGTTAAGTACCCAATGTAGTCCCAGTCTATCTTTAGAATCCTTGTTTTCCTGTATCCGTTTCAGGTGATACAATAGTTAGGTCTAGGCAATCTTGGTAAGGATTTAAAGGCAATTGTTTGTTCTTTAGAATATAAGCTTATGGTATGGTTGTCGGTGTGTATTTGGCGACAGTGCACAGTGAGTAATAAGGCCTTGGTGATGATCCGGAAGTGAAATCTGTGTTCCACTGCATGGTGTTTTATTTACATGCAGGTCAATCCTTGACAAGAACTTCACCTTAAAATCATCTTTTAAGGTATTTGAGTTTAACATATGATTTGCATGGATTGTGACACAGTATAATGTTCAGTACTGAGAAGCAAATGCAAATAATACATAGTAAAATTAATTGTGTTCTATGGTCTGCTGTTTCGCAAAGCGCATGACAAAACTGCTCAAAGGTATTCCAAAACGATTTCGAAAACGAGGTAACATAAGAGCAAAAAAAAAAACGTGGCATAGGAAATGCTGGCCATATAAACAATAATAATGTTCATATATTCCAGACATAAACCTCTCAGACACGTATAGGTGAAACAAGCATTCTCAGTCGCGATTACAACACATCTGTATTAATATAACCTAATTGATTCGAGCACGCGTAAAGAGAAACAGCAAAATGGTCAAGTTCCAAATCTTGTTTTGGACTCATTTATTATGGCAAAACTCTTGCGTGATATCATTAGTTACTGCACGAACGTAATATTTGGCAAAATATTTAAGAACATATTAACATGTTTATAGAACAGAAAGAAAATCCACTGCTTACAAAAATAAAATCTGCGCACAAGTTAATACAAGCAAAATAGCATGGTAAGTCTTCGGCGAACCCCATACTAATACAATAGTACAGTCAACAACGTCAATCTTAAGGCTCTATAAATATGCGTCGTATCGCTTTGACAAGGTCAATATCGCTTTGACAAGGCCAAAGCGATTTGGAGTCCTGTGCATGTACAATGAAAACGTATCATCGTGACCCACATTAGTTTTTGGCTATCATATGTCTGAAGATCTGACGTCAAAAATGTATATATTGGGACTAAAAAGGAATATATATATATATATATATATATATATATATATATATATATATATATATATATATATATATATATATATATATATATATATATATATATATATATATATATATATATATATATGTGTGTGTGTGTGTGTGTGTGTGTGTGTGTGTGTGTGTGTGTGTGTGTGGTTGTGTGTGTGTTTGTTAGTGTGTTGTTAGAATAATAAACAGGTTAAGTGTTCTGTCTGTTTCATGCAGACAGGAGATAAAACCACATGCGAAAATTTGCCCCTTTACGTTAATGCTTGAAAATGACTACTCTAACGTCGGTAATCATATATTTACCATTGTGAAGAGCAGGTTGGAAGGTGACCTGTTTTAAGTCAACTGAAATGCTTAACGAAGTCATACTGAGACAAAATAAAAACAAGAATTGCAAATATGGACACTAATAACGCGATTTTCTCTTTTTTCTGATAAAATATTTTCATGAAATTAAAAAAGGATGTTTTATTCGTCACATTCTCTGTATAATTCATAGTCAAATCTGTCACTTATTACTTAGACTGTACACACATGACGTCTATCTAAAAAGAATTTAGGGTAGATGTGGATAATACAGGGTTACATTATGCAATGGATTTCTTCGGATCGGAAATGCAGTTCAATATTTGCTGTGCAATAAATCTATAAAATTCTTGTTGCTAGAGTTTGAATAAAATATAACCAGAAATTTATCATTTAAATTCAATAGAAAAGCTCTTTTGCGAGTAATCTTGCCTTATTAATTTTTTTTTCTTTTGTTACATTTTTTATTACTTTTTTTACCCTCATCCACATTGAGCTAATTATTCCATGCAGGAAGTACACTCATGTCTTTGATCTGCTTTCGTGTTAAATATATATATATATATATATATATATATATATATATATATATATATATATATATATATATATATATGTATGTATATATATATATATATATATATATATATATATATATATATATATATATATATATATATATATATATATATATATATATATTCAGAGAGAGAGACAGACAGAGACAGACAGACAGACAGACAGACAGACAGACACTCTCAGTGTAGACATGGGTTGTTATTTCTTAACTATATGAACACAAATGCAATTTTCAGAATCCTTAATTGTCTAATTTAATTGAAACAATGCACCAACATTCCTATTTGAGAACATGATTAAAGTATATGAAAATTTACTCACTTTTCTTAGCTATTGATCATACTCTTCATATTTCACTTATCATTTGCATATTTTGTGGTAGCATTGTGACGTCATTATGGTAAATCACTGCCCTTGACAGAGGTCATGATCAATATTCTCTTCCCCTGGAGAGGACTTTAACTAAATATAAATAAACGCTGTTAGATTAGAGAGGATTTTGCGCGAGGACATATAAATATTTGTCTGAAACACAGTATTCGGGGCAACCAAAGGTCATTCCACAGGTGATATTGGTTTTGCTCTAGTTTCTTCATTTGCAAAGGCTTTGCTGTACTTAACATGTTTATCCAATCTCTATCACTGACTGATGTAGGTAGCGTGTTGTTACCCTACCAACAAGGGTGCAGTGGAAATGGCGTTCACTTACATTTTTGCGTGTTCCTCTATTTTTAATCATTATCGCCCTGCACAACTTCGATGTCAATCCTACGAATCATACATCTAATGTGTGCAAAGAGCGGCCATTTGGCTGGTCTCAACTTATTAGGAAAAAATCAACTGGCTGAGAAAATGCGCGCGCTTCGAACTGTTTTCATTTGCAACTCGACGGCCAGTCTAATGTTAGAAATATCTGAGGTGGCTGGAATACTTGCAGTTTCTTTTTGCGAAGAAATTTTCAGCGAGCAGATTGTGTGGTGTTTCTGTAGATTGCTGCGCCAATCTATATCTAATTAATAGTTTTGTCTCTCAGCTATTGTCGCAATAAAAGAGGATGGCAGGAATGGAAATTAGGTCAAAGTTATTCACGCGGTTGTCGTGCACCTTAACTGAGAAAGACCGATCACACGTCCTTCATGTATATAACTTACTACATCTATTTGAACGGCTGCCATGTACTTTCGAAAAATATATCCGCATTCGAGTGAATGACTAAACTAATCAACAAAGTAGTCGCGTATTTAGTGCGATGGATATAAAGAAATGAAATCGTCAGATAATTAAACATTTTGACTTATCTTTCACAAAATTTTATTCATTTTCGCTACTGATAACAATTAATGCCAAATTTGCACGCACTGTTATTCAAACCGGAACATCTTGTTATAGTCCTTTATTTTCACAGCGGCACGTTAAAATGAAATTAAGAGCTTCGGTTCATGGATGCAGGGATTGGATGAGGTCGGACTGGGGTTGAGTAAAACCCGTAACAAAGTAAAAACATGTTTGTCCCAATCCTCCAGTATATAAAGATAATCAGGACTATTCAGACGATTTCGGACTAATGCCCTACAGGATAAGGTGCGGATTGCTTTTGTCACAGCGTGTACAATTGGAAAAGTGGCGCCCAAATTTGCTCGAAATTTATTAATTCTTTATAAAAATAAAAATATAAAGAATAAACATATACTGTTAAATAGGTAAAGATTATACATATACCGTTATAAAGATAAAATGTATACATATGCTGTTTTAGAGACTAAGTGTATACATATACTGATAAGAAGATAAAATGTACACGTATGTTGTTATAAAGTGTATACATATACTGTAAAAAAGACAAAGAGCCAAAGTACTATTATTAAATGAAATGAGGTCATCGAAGGTAAAACTTACGACCATTTTATGGTAGATTTGCAC